ATAATAATAATAATAATAATAATAATAATAATAATAATAATAATAATCTCTGTAGACTCACACTTTACCTGATGTATGAAATACATTTAATGAAACACGCACATACCATATTTATTTAAGTCTGTGCCAGACTTTGCTATACATTGGTGCCTCAAAGAATCTGGTTGCCAGCCCTTGTGAGGCCTGCAGTATACCTGTTCCCTGGGGAGTCAATAGTTCTAAACTATAAAAACAAAAAGTCAAGAAAATGTACATGGTCATAAAAATGGCAAATGAGCGTGAGTGAGGTAGAGAGGGATGGCTAAGAATGTAATAGATGAGTTGAGACCTAACAAATCATAGTCTAATCTATTAAAAAAAGAGAGAGAGAGAGATTCTAACAATGAATTTTTCAGGAAAGCAAATTGAGGAAAGATTGGTACTGTTCTGTTCAAAACTTTACTAAAACTTGCTCAACATGCCAGAAAATTACATCCTTAGTAACCGTACCGTTCACTTTCTTCTGAAACACTGATATGCTGTACCTTCTAAATGTGTAGCTGTCAGATCCACATAGATACGCACGTATTTCAGCACGTACTTTGTAGCGTTGATTATATATTCAAATGTTCACAGCCTTTAACCGAAGCCCACAGCTTGAGTTTGTAATTTGCTCCGAAAGCAAACATTTACAGCTTGTCTTTTTGTACCAGTCCGCTTCTCCGCATGCTCATTAGCTTAAATTGAATGCAGCCTGTCATTCGGTCAAGTTATTGAGGAAGCAACCTCATTTTTGTGCCTCTCTCTCTCTCTCTCCCTCTTTCTCTGTTTAAGAAATCATTGCTTTTTCTGCTGTCTTCCCTAAAACCTAGGTGTGTTCTGTTTGCTTATTTGGTCTTAAGGAGCATCTGCACGCAAGCCTAGAGGTGCTTGGAGGGGTAGTCTCATTATACCCTTGCTCTTGCTTTGAGAAAACATCAGGTGTGCTAGACTCTTCCTGTAGACCCAGCTGTCCAGCTTGCCAGTGTGTGGAAATTTCTCTGCGGTGCAAGCATCATTAAGGCTTACCAGCTCTTTTAGAACACGTTGCTCTGTCATCCACTCTCCAGAATGCTTCTAAGGTTACCAGGATTTCTGCTGTGTGAACTTGCTCCATTTTTAATATATTGATGGTTTTGGGGAAACATCTGTGCTCTGTGGTTCTTCTGGGAATATACAGACACAAGAACGAATGGTGGATCTGGTCATAAAAGATTCTCAAACTCGGTGATGAATTGAATCCCGTCTCTTATTCAATAGCAAACTTTGAAGCTTGGGTTCTCAACTCCAACATAAGAATAATAATAATAATCCCTGCACAGAGAGAGATGTTACGGCTGGAGATAGTATACACAGACTGCCTGGACTACGCTTTCAACAGATGGACGCAGTTATTATTACTATCACTAGCTTTAAAATCACTATATTTAGACCTCATTCACCCCTACAGTGTTTTAGACCATCAAAGTCATTACTGCCGATAAAGTAATAAATGACTTGTTTTACAGAGTTTATCCCAATCTTTTGTAATTGGCTTTACTCAGCCGTATACCTACCCACAAAGAGTTGCGACCAAGTTTGTCATTTGTACACAGGAGGATCACCTAGCAAGCACCCTGTGTTTACTGCGTGGACACGAACCTAACCTTACTTTTTCTATTCCCTTACAGAGGCCACAAGAAGAGAAATATCCTGTTGGGCCATGGCTGTTGGCATTGTTTGTTTTTGTTGTCTGTGGCTCAGGTATGGTATTTCACTGAATTATAGCCCAAGTGCTCTGCTGTCCTTGAAAAACCGTGTTTTCGTCCACAACCTAAATACACAAAGAAGTATTGATTTGGGGTTCAAGTCCGTCGCTGCCTTAAACCTTAATCTTAATAGGTTTTTATTCTGCTTCTATTCCAAGTATGATGAGACAGAGTTGATAGACTATCAAATGATAGTCATAAAATGATTACAAGAAATTGAGTGCTCTGTATAGGCTGTGAAGTTCAGTTGAGTTGTTCTGTATACACACAGCCTAAATACAGCATTTGGAACCGAAAGTAGAATACTTTGTCTGTTCAAGATAAATCCGCATTCCAAAGACAGGGAGAGGCCTTCTGCCCTAGAGCATTCTACAGAAACAGAGCAGAGCCTTTGACCTAAGCCATAGATATGCATCTCTTGATACTTTGGGGTAGCAAGTGCAGAGAGTCAAATTCATATACATGTATGCACAAGGGACATGAGCAAAGAAAAAAGTATATTTTTCTAAATGCAAGGGCATAGATTCAGAGCATTATCCTCTGTCACCTCAGTGTCTGTGAGGACAGGGAACGCAAGAAGCCTGTGTCTTCCCATGTATGCTTAGGCATCCCACCAAGACATACTTCTGCTCCAAATATCAAGAGAAGCTTCATCATTACTGACGGTCCAGCTCCCTGATCAAGAGTTGCTTTCCCAAGGGGACAGAAGCTCTTGGGTGGGATGGGGGAGCCTCTGAAGTTCTTAGGGATATCATCGCTTGTGTTTGAAATATTTTACAGAGGGCTTGATGTTTCAAGAAGAGAGAATTATCCACTTGAAAAATAAAAATTCTAAGCCTTGTCAGATTTTTTTTCTGGGGGAAGCTACCCCGTATGTGAGTGGCCCCGTCACTGGTTTGAATGCATTCACCTAACCTTGACTGGGGTGCCTACTTCCCAAGGAAGCACAAGCCTATCTTGGCCAGCTGCCACAGTGCACATCTAAAATGCCAGTACTTGGGTAGCTAAGGCGTATTCATCTGGAATTCACGACCTTTGACATTCTGCCTAATTTTTCCCCTAAAAATGAAGCAAAATAAACCTTTGCCTTAAGCGTGCCAGCCTACATTAAAAAGTTATCTGTGCTCTTAAGCTTTATTACGAGTCTCTAAGCAGACAGGTTTTGAACTTTGAGCCTTTAATTATCCTCTCCCAGCTTTATGACCTCTGAACATATACCTCCAAGTCACTGGTGAAAGGTCTAGACTTGGAGAAAGCCAGTGAGACAGCCTTCTTCAGCTTGACTTGGGACCTCTGCAGCTTGCAGCCCTAGCTCCGTGCTGGGTTTTAGAACGCAAACTCCTTAGGGGCTTGTGGACACTGGGAGGCCCTGGCAAGGCAGGGAGCCAGGGCCGCCCTGGAGGCAGCACGCCACATCGACCACATTAGCTCAGCAATTGTGGATAAGGGCCTCCCTCCCGGCTGAGGAGGGACCTTCCTGCAGGAGAGCTGAGTTTGGAAATCGGCTTTCAGGAAGATGGGGTGAGGAAGGTGAGGCCTACAGAGGGGAGCAGGATGTGCCGTAGGCACAGAGGCATCCCACAAGCCCAGTCACAGGACCTGTGTCCCTGTGGCCCAGGTCCTAAGTAGATACATAGCTAATGCATGTTTCTTTTCTAGCATCAAGGTTTATAATAAAGACATTGTGGCCCTCCAAAGTAGTCTGTCTGGGTGCAAACCAGTAGAGCATTCTGGTCCAGCTTCCTTTTCTCAAACCCGTGTCCCTTACGTAAACACCACATTTTTATGACTCTCCTAGAGTCCAGTCATTTCTCAGGAACCAGGGCTGTTGCCTGTGCTGACGATGCCTTTTTTCCATGAGTTTGTCAGGTCCCTGGGATGTGGACCTACGAGGAAGTTCCTGGAGATTTGGACCACTTAATATACCCATCCATCTCTTTCCACCCTCTTGTTTTTTTGTTGGAGGGGTGGTGGATATAGAAGATAAAACCCAAGGCCTCATGCCAGACATTCCCCCTTGTGCTGTAAACTCTGTTCTTCCGCTGTTTGGATGGCACCTCGTTCAGTCTCTCTAGCTCTAGACCATTTTACCTCTCCAGGCAGGTGAGTTGTGGGAACCAAGATGCAGTACTTTTTCTGCCCTCTTTTGTCATGCCGCCATTTTCCCAAAGCAGTGGGCCTTCCCTCTTTTCAAGTCACAGCTAAAAATAGCATGCACATCACCCCATCCCACACCCGCCACTTCTCCTTTTAACAGCTGTAGTATTGCTTTCGTGCACCTCAGCTCAAGCTAGCTACCCACTGTTGTCACTGAATTGTCACCCTTCCCAGCTATCCTTGGTCCACGACCCTTCCGTCTTTATGGACGTCCCTTTCTAGACAGAACCCGTCATGAAAAACAATTGTTTCTTCAGCTCTGTCTCCGTGGCCAGCTCTCCAGGATCAGTCATGTCATCTTGCAGATCCTCTCCAACTCTTGGCTTTCTTGAAACCCTTTAAGGGTCACGGACTACTGGCTCCTCCCCTCTCAGCAGCCTCTCTTCTCTCCATCTGAAAGGATGCTTTTTTTGTTTTGTTTTGTTTTGTTTTTGCTAACTCTAGCCCATGTATTGCTCTTCTAATTTAGTGGTGAGCCTTTTCCTACAGGCATTAAGATGCTAGAAACTCTCATCCCTGGAGTGTCTGGCTAAAGCACCAGTTCTAAAACCCAGCATGGGGAAGATGTTTTCCTTCTCGTGCCTTACTCCAGTACAGACACCAGCATCCTGCGGCTGGCTCTTGCTCACCGTGCTCTTGCTAGGTGCACTGAAGCTTGGTGAAGGAGTCCCACACTCTGCCCTGTCGTCCTCCATCTTCGGCCTCTGAGCATCATATACCCACCCCCTCATGTAGGCAGAAGTTTTGTCCCACCAAGGTTCAAGATAGCTTATTGGCATCCATGAGCTCATGTAGCGAGTTTCTCTTATTTTGTGTATTTTCATAGAGACACTGAGAACAAGGTGACGTCTCATAGGAATGAAGATATTGATCACCTATGCTAATGCCTTGAAAGTCGAGCGGCCTTTATTCCTTATTTTATTAACCTACTTTCCTAGATGATGATTGGTTGAGCGAAGTGCCCTTTTTAGAAATAGTGTCAGAGTACTGACAGTAAATAAATATTCAGGTCAGGCTAGTAGTAAGAAACACACATTTTCTATTTTTCTCTCTCTGTCTGTAGTCTCAGGGAGAATTAGGGCTGGCCGGGAGCTGGCGCTCAAACGTATGCTCACTTATTGTTGACCCTTGCCCCATTACATGGAAGAGCTGGTTGGCCAACCCATGAAAGTCCTGTACCGCTTTCCAGAGTCCCTCCTACAGCCTTCCCCATTTGGGACATTTGCCCTTACTGGAGTCTGCACCCGGAGGCTTCTGTGCAAACCCACGTCCAGGAAATGCCATCCCCACCCTTGAGAAGTCAGGTGAAGCAGCAGACCTCCCGAAGCTGCCCGAAGCCACCAACGTCTGAGTCCCACTAGACCCACTCCTGCTTCTTGCCCAAGTAGCTGGCTACAACCTCTGCTAATTACTGGGAAGGGAGGCAGGCGTGGAGGTTGTGTGAGTGCACCTGTGGATTAAGTGAGTCTCCACTTTCTGTGACTACAGATGGTATCTCAGGCAAGGGACTTCTTGGTAAGCCAGTAAGAGCCCCCAGACAGAAGGGTCATAAAGAATCTGCCAGATAGGAGTGTTCAAAGCCTGGATTCTCCGGCCGTCAGATGAGTGACACTGGACAAGTTACTATTCTCTCCATGTTGCTTTTCTTGTTGAGAAAAAATGGAGCTATGAGCTGGGCATTATTGATGTGTGCCTATAGTGCCAGCACTTAAGAGGCTGAGGCAGGAGGGTCATGAGTTTGAAGCCAGTCTGGAGTATGGAGCAAGACTTTGACTCAAGATAGACACACCCGTCTACCACAGTTCTGGGGATCTGGCCCATTACAAGCCCAAACCTACCATCATGCGTTACAAATACCAGTACCTCACAGGAGACGTCAGTCCAGCCTTGGAGTGCTTAGGTTTACGTCACTGTCCTTCCCCCAGGCTCTGTATCTAATTGGCAGACCCAGCCTCGGCTTTCCATTCTCAATCTATCAGAAAATCATCAGGCTGCCCGCCTCTTGCCTCTGAGGGTGAATGAGAGCAGTTTCTCAAGTCTGACACTGTTTTCCCTGTATGATAAAACATAATAACGCCGTCCCCACCCAAGAGGAAGGAAGCACCGCCATGCAGACCAACCTCAGAGAATAGTGGTTTATACTTCAAATTGAGCATAAGAAGGAGGGTGTTTCATTTCCTTAAAGCAATGCTAATACACCCCGTTCTGCATAGCTTTCCTGGTGAGATTCAAAAACAGTAGGAATCATAGGACATCACTGGACCACTTCTTGCTCTGTCATGTTTTGTTTAATTTGCTAGCTGGGCTTTATGTTTATGAATATTATAGAGATTATGTCTGAAATGTAAAACTTATTTCTCCATCCAATTCCCGCTCTCAGCCTGTGATTTGGAAGTCATTGAGCCTGCTGAACTGGCTGGGTTTGTCTCTCTGCTTAATCTCTTCAGACACAGACCCATATTGAAGCCTAAGGAATTTGAATGCCCTGCGGGAGGTTGTGTCCCTGTTTGCCCCTCTTTTTTATCTTCTGTTTCTTCAGGCAGTCTCCTGGAGCAGTCAGTCTTGGCTTTCAAAACTGTCCCCTCTGGAGAATGCTTCATAGCAGTCGGGGGACAGCTTGGTGGTTATCTCAAGACACAGACAAGCATCATCTGGGATGTCTGGGACCATTCCCTGTAGAGATACTGTCACACGAATACTCCAGATGTGCTATCTCCTCACGCCTCTTCCAGATGTGCAGACTAGACGCTATACCCCAGACCACTGATGGATCTCATGGTGACTGTTTGTGCATCAAACTATAATTTTTAGGTTCCTCCTCCTCCCCTTCCTTCTCTTCATTTTTTGGTTGGTGTTTAGGGATGTCTGCCATGAACATGGTATAGTCACTAGAGCCAAACTCTTCTTTGTTACCCTTGGACCCAGCTTTTTATGGTATTCAAAGGACAGCTGTGTTCAATGTTTTCCACTTTCCTCCTTGACCAAATGCCACCTAAACAGTCTATCTTAATACGCTACCTGCGGAATTTTTTAATGTAGACTTAGCATGTGCATGGTTCTGGTGGTCTCTCGGTGCTGTTTATCAGCCCTGAGCCCGGGCTCTGATACCGTACCGTGGCAAAGAGCAGCAATCTGAGGTGTTTTCTTTGTGGCAAAGATGTATCCCATTTCATCCTCAGCTGGATCCTGTTCCAGCTTCAGCTGGGATCAGTGGAGCTATTTAATTCCCAGCATTCTTTGCTTCTTTGCCAGAACCACTTAAACACCAGTCACACCCCAGTTCCTTCCCAGGCTATTTCTCCCTTGTGTATTCCTAATTTCAATTTTATGTCTCCTCTCTGTCAAACCTTAATATTCATTTCCTAGCTAGGAATTGGGAGTTTTAAGGGTTCCCAAAGCCTGGGCATTCTTGACCTTCCCCATCAAAGGGAATTTGGAGTGAATAAGAATAACTAATGACCATTATTTCCTTCATAATTTTCTGTCCTGTATAAATTTGCCAATGAGTTTGTATTTACTAGTCAGTGATTTCTGAGAACAAAACCCTGGGTGAGTGCTTTTGAGCCTATTTCTTTTGGAAAGTTGAGGACTTCTACTGAAGGCTTAATAAATTAAAGAACAACTGTTTAATTGACATGGTGGTGCGGTTGCTATGTATGTGTGTGTGTGTGTGTGTATATACATGTATGTTAGGCAATATGTAACTCTCTTTTTCTAATTAAAAAATATTATGTACATTTGGCATTTGGCCTACATATATGTTTGTGTGAGGGAGTCAGATCTACTGAACTTGAGTTACAGACCAGACAGTGGTGAGCTGCCATGTGGGTGCTGGGAATTGAACCAGGGTCCTCTCTTAACCACTAAGCCATCTCTCCAGCCCTCAATATGTAGGTTTCTACATGTGTATAATCTGTGTCTCGGTGTTTGTGTGTGTATTTGTGTACCTATGTACATATATGTATATGTACCTTGTGTATATATGTATAGTTGTGCTGATGTGTAGGTTTCTCTACGTGTATATTTACATATGCATATACATGCATGTGTTTCTGTGTCCATGTGTTTATATGTGTATGTTTATCTACTGTGTAGATTTACATATGTGTCTGTGTATAATTGTGGATTTCTTTTTTTATCTTTTTTATTTTTTTTATTATTTTTTTTTCAAGACAGATTTTCTCTGTGTAGTTCTGGATGTACTGGCTTCGCTTTGCAGTCCAGGCTGGCTTCTTACATAGATCCACCTGCCTCTGCATCCCTGGGTGCTGGGATTACAGGTGTGTGCCAATTTGCCGGGCTCTATTTGTAGATTTCTATGTTTCCATGTGTTTGTGTCTGTCTATGTGTGTGTCCATGTGTATATTTGCTATATCATCTTCTTACATGTATGCTTATGTACATGTTTAGGTTTCTATGTGTTTGTGAATGAATGTGTAGTCCTGTGTGTTGTGTGTGTATGTGTGTAAGGTGTGTGTCCATGTATGAGGGAGTACGGTGTGTTTTGAGGAAGGTGTCTGTACATAGGGTATCTGTATATGTTATGTATATGTATGTGTGTGTGTGTGTGTACATGAATACTTATGTGTATCATTATGCTTAAGTGGGTGCCTGTGTGTATCTGTATGTATATGTATGTATCTGTGAGTATCTATGTATCTTTGTGTGTCTCTGTGCTTGTATGTGTCTATGTGTTTATCTGTGAGTGTGTGTGTGTGTGTGTGTGTGTGTGT